CCCAGCATCCTCTGTCTGACCAGGAAACTCCAAAACACAAAGGTTTACACTCCTATAGGGCACAGCAAAACCAACCTTACCCTAATAGGGTGTATACGGCCACACCTACCTCTTCCCACACGCAGCAGCACTCAGGCTGTCTCCAGGGTTGTGTTTTCTCCTCGGGACCTCCCCGTGTCTCTGCCCCCACTCCCTGCACACCCTGTGAAGGGACCTGGTGTGCCTCAGGGCAGTTGCAGTTACAAGAGAAGCTCCTTTCGAGCTCTTGTGGGGGTCGGGGCTTTGAGGGTTGACTCTCCCCGTTCCCAGCAGACAGGTTTTGTGTCGGCATCTCTCTCCCGCGTGTAGGTGCCCCGCGTGTAGGTGCCCACCTGGCAGGGGCACAGCAGAGGAGTCCAGGGGGGGGATGTGTTTCTGCCCCGTTGCAGGACACCGGTGACACGCTGGGCAGCGTGCTACGGGGCTTCTTCACAATCCGCAAAAAAGAGCCAGGCGGGCGTCTCCCAACCTCCTCTACGTGTTTTAACCTCCTCAAGCTTCCCAACTACAGCAAGAAGAGCATCCTGCGGGAGAAGCTGCGCTACGCCATCAGCATGAACACTGGTTTTGAGCTGTCCTAGTTGCCGTGGGCCTGGACTCTGCGACGGGGGCTCTCGGAGCCGCTGACTGCTGCTGGAGGTGGAGGCCCTCGTGCACGGAGGGTGGGTCGGCTCCGTGGGGGCTGCCTGCTCGCTCGAGGGCTGGAGAGATGCAGCTGCTAGGAGAGGGTTACCAGGAAGAGCTTCTGGGCTAGACAGGGCTGGCTTTTCTTGGGCACGGCTCCAGGATGAAGGAGGTGATGGGCCTGACCCAATACACTTCACTTGACACCCACGTAAATCGTCTTTTAAAAGCAAACCCCGGGGGAGCATAAAAGGAACATTAAAAGTGCCAGTCAGATTAGTGACCGTAATACCCCCAGCAGGCTGCGCAGTCTGGGCAGCTGCTGCTGCGGGAGCGTTTCTTTTTCCTTTCCCAGGAGATGGTCCAGTTTTCTTACTGGGTGGAAGTCAGTCTGTGGGAAGCTGCACAAAGGCAGAAACATGACAGAGCCCAGGACAAGGAGAAAAGCAGGAGGCTGCGGCGTTGGATGTGCCGCAGACGGGCACCGTTTACTCAGGACAGGTACTGCGGGGGCTGCCTGGTGCCCTTGCTCCGTGCGAGGCCCTGGCGTTTGGAGGAGGACGAAGCGCTTGCCCAGACTCAAGAAGCAGCAGGTTAAACGGGAGCAGATGGGCCCCGCTGGTCTCAGGAAGGTGTCGGAGGGCTGTGGGTTAAGAGCTCACGCAGCGGGCCTGGGGGTCAGCGTGCTGAGCCAGCTGTGCCTCTGCCAAGCTCTCGCCCGAGCCTGTGCTTGGGGCAAAAAGGGTGGTTGTCTGAATTCGCTCAGGAGCGGAAAAGGTTTCGTTTTGTTTCGTTTCCAAAGGACAGGCGCTGGCACGCGGCGCGGGCAGCCCGCACTCCCCGGCACGGTGCTCGCGCTGGGCAGGTGCCCCCCGTGATCTCTGGCAGGGGACTGTGTCGGGCTGCCAAGGGCCCTCTGGAAACTGCTGGCAAAATTCCTCTCGCTTGGATCGAAGTTTCACTTTGTTTGCGGGCTCTTTTGTGAGGGAGATGTGCTGTTTCAAACCAGGACTTGGCTTCTGTGTAACAGCCACATTTTGCTTTGTTGCCAAATTATTTATTTTGGTCGCTTTGTCTCTTTCTGGCCTTATTTTTAACAGTTGATGTTTGCCTGTAGCAGGCAGCTTTTTCAGGTTGTTCTGAAAGGCAGGGTGTGAGTGAGGGGCGTGCGTGTGTGTGTGTGTTGGGAAGGTGTGGACCCTTCCCTGCCATTTCTTCTGAAGTCCAGAGCCTGATTTCTCAAGTGTCTCTGCAGTTTCCCAGCTGTGGGCCCTCGTCCTGCTGCCAGTCCTGCCTCAGCCCAGGCTGGTGCTGTCTCCTGGGCTGCTCTGTCCTTGCTGGGCTTCTGGCACAAAGAAAAGCCATCGACGTTCTCCTGTTCGGGACAGGATTAAAAACCTTCTCCCCTTCCCCTCTCGCTGCTCACTGATAAAACGAGCTCCCCCAGAGGCTGCTGGTACCTCCCCTCCTGAGCCCCCCGTGGCGGTGGTGCCCCCCGCCCTGCGCTCTGGCCCCCCTGCACTGCCCCGGCAGAGCTGCTGGGAGCCTTTTGGTGCACAAGTGGGCTCGCAGCAGGCACCCTGGCGCGAGGCTGCCGTATCCTACCTCATCCTCTGGCTCGCCCTGGCCCACCCGCAGGGAGGTCTCCGCACAGCGCAGGCTCCCCGGGCTCCGAAGGTCCCTCTTAACCACCATATATTGCACATTTCAACCAGACCAGAAACCCCTCGGCACCATCCAGTCGAGAGGACAGAGATGGTCTTTGCTTCATCTTTCTCTTCTGGCTTTGCTTCAGCTGCTTTTCAGAGGAGTAACCCTTTTTTTTTGTTTTGTTTTAGTACTAATGCCTGGAAATGCATCTGGAAAGCAACTTCAGGATCCTTGTTCTCTGTCAGCTCAGTAATATTAAACAGGAGCGATCAGAAGTGTTAGTGAGGACAGGAATACTGGATACAGATACTGGACTATGAGCTCAGAGAAATTAAAGATGATAGTAAATTTCTTTTTAATTTTTTTTTTTTAATAGAGCATTTCAGCATTAACCAGTTGACTGTGTAGCTGAGAGGTTCAGGCACTGACTTTAAACAACAGTTTAAAATATCACACAAGATTATTTTTTTTTAATTATTATTATTATTATTGTAGGGAAATGGAAGTGTGTCTAAACAGAGCACAATGATTGTTCAACCGAGTTGTTGGACACAGCGACATAAAATCTTTTGCTCCCCTTTTTTCCTTCATTCCTCAGGAGTACAATCCCTAGAAAAGATCCTAAGGCAGACTTAGCCAGGTCCCTCCAAACCTGGCACTATTGCACTACAAGACACTACATCCCCTTTTGTAGCTAGCGTGTAAAACGTCTAGAGTAAACGCCCTGGTGGCTCCGTGCGCAACAACGATATTTCTCTTGAGTAGCTGATTTCTGTGTGAGTGGGAGGCTTTAATACGTTTTTACCTGAGCAGGAGGCTGTGAATGTGTGGGGTCCCTGCCCGCACTGCTGTATTCTGCGCAGGTGTTCTTTGTAGGGCAGGGATGGTTTTGCCACGGGAGATTAATGACTATTTTTTTTCTATAGAAGACTTGCTGCTGTGGAGACCTTGGTTACATCCCGTGTATCAGAAATGCAGGGAAGAGAAAAATAAACCTGGTATGAATAAGATGATTGGATGTCTCCTCTTCCTTTCCCCTCGGGGCAGGGAAGGAGCTGGGGGTAACACTCCTGCTCGGAGCAGAGCTCAGAGGTAGTGGCACCTCTTGGTACCTCTGCCAGGAACCTGCCAGGCTGTGGACAGAGCTGCTGGTCCCTCAAATCTTTTTTTTTTCCAGGCTGGTTCTTGGCAGGCATGTGTGGGTGCTCCTTGGGGTGCTTCTGAAGGGGTGATGCGAGGACCTCTGAGCCTGAGGGGACCTGGCGGTGGCGTCTGAAGCGGGATTTGTTCTTGTGTCTTGGAATACGCGTGGAGGAGCGCTGCTGGGTCCTGCAGGATGCTGTGACTTCAGCCTTTGGTACCTTCTGGAGCGTTACTGGTGTTCCTGGGATGTAATGGGGGGGAGCCTGGCCTAGGGCAGGTGCTGGGCTTCACAGTGCTCTGTATGTGTCTCGCCAGCAGGGAATGGTGGCTGGGGCTACTGGGGGGAGGAAACCACACTGGGAAGCTGAGCAAGACCCCCCCCAGCGCAGGAGAGCGGGGCAGTGTGTGTGTCTGTGCTCAGGGCGGCTGCCCCGTCGGGCCAGAGCTCTTCTCCAGCAGCTCTGCTGTGGGCAGGAGCTGGTGGCAAAGCTGCCTGCCCTCAGGCTCTGCTGCGGGCGCTGGAACCGGGCTTGGGCGGCCAGTGGGGCCAAGTCTGTGTCTTTGCACCAAGGAGTCTTATGTGTCTTGGTGTAGGGAGATGTGGATTTGTGGGGCCAGGCTGCGCTTTGTGTCTTAGAAGTTGCTCTGAGCACCAGCCACCAGCTGACGGGTTGGTTATTAATAATAACATAAAATCCCAGAATCATCCGGGTTGGAAAAGCCCCTGCAGCTCCTCCAGCCCCACCATGACCCTCCCCCTGACCGTTCCCAACTCCCCCAGATCCCTCAGCGCTGGCTCAGCCCGACTCTTCAACCCCTCCAGGGATCCCGGGGACTCCCCCCTGCCCTGGGCAGCCCATTCCAACGCCCAACAGCCCCTTCTGCACAGAAATCCTTCCTCAGAGCCAGACTGACCCTGCCCTGGGCAGCTTGAGGCCATTCCCTCGGGGCCTGGCGCTGGGGCCTTGGCTCCAGAGACTCATCCCCCCTCTCTGCCCCCTCCTGGCAGGGAGTTGCCGAGGGCCAGGAGGTCTCCCCTCAGCCTCACCCCCCCTGCTATTTCTGACACCAGCCAGGATGCCGTTGCCCTCCTTGGCCCCCTGGGCACACTCTGGCTCATTCTCCCCCCCAAGTCCCTCTCTGACCGGCAGCTCTCCAGCCACTCCTCCCCAGGCCTGTAGCCCTGCTGGGGGTTGTTGTGGCCTCAGTGAAACTCCCCCAGTTGGGCTCAGCCCATGGCTCCAGCCTGCCCAGGTCTCTCTGTGGACCCTCCCTACCCTCGAGCAGATCAACACTCCCACCCAACTGGGTGTCCTCTGCAACCAGGGGCCCCTCGCTGGCCGCCTCTAGATCATCAGTGCAGATGTTAAACAAGGAGGGGAGAAGCGCGGTGCCCGTAGGAGGTGGTGGTGTGCTTCTCCCCTCGCTGGCTCTGGCAGCATCGCTGCAGGAGTGAGGAGCTGTGCCCGCTGCTGCTCCAGCTTCCCCCCCAGTTCAGGTTCGGCACGTGGCAGCGTCGCTGACCGCCTTCCCCCGGCTTCCGAGGCGCGGCGCAGCCCCCCCGCCTCATCCCGACGGGCGCCCGGGCTTCGCTGGGGAGCGGGAGCTCGGTGGGAGCGAGGGAGAGGGCTCCCAGTCAGTGTGCAAGCGCCATTGTTTTGACACAGAGGCATATGGCGCCGTCAGAAACAGCAAAAAGAAACCCCACAGCAGATGCTGCCAAGGCAGAAAGCTGGCAGCGAGCAGCCAGGCCTGCGAAATGCCTGCATCCGCGCGATGCCGACGGGCCGGGGCTGCCTCGCCGTGCTGCCGCCTCGGGGCTGACCCAAGGGCGAGTCGGAGCATGGCCGAGGCGCTGGGAGGGATCGCTGGAGCCCGCTGGTGCTGGCGGGGGACGCGCTGCTGCCTCGCAGGTGTGTTGGGGAGCCAACAGCTCTTCTCGCTGCTCCCCCAGCCTGTCCCAACCCGCGGCTCTCAGAGCACAGATTTGTAATCCCTCCGGTTGCTGCCGCTGCTTCGTACAAGCCCTTGGCCAGGGCTGGTTGCAGGTTCGGGCACAGAGAGAGGGGGAGATGTGCCGAGCTCTGGTCTCCACATCCCTCAGCTGAACGGCGTGAGATTCCTGCGGCTTGTTTCTGTCTTTGCTCGCGTTTACGGAGACACGGAGCAGCCTCTGCGGCGTGTTAGTGATGGAGTGCTCAGACCTACGTTGGCACTGGCTTGGCACTGCTGCCTCTCCGTTCCAAAATGTGTTTCCAAGGTCAAGTTCTTCTTCTGCAGCTTCCCCCTGGGGCAGTTCGAGCACGAGCTGGGACACTCTGCCTCTCCGGGCAGAGCTGGGCGCTTTCTGCTTGGTTGCAGCAGACGTAGAGCTGAGGGACTGCGACAGCCCTTCCCTCAGCGCAGACGGGCTGAATCTGCTTCCACCTGACGCGGGGACGGTGCCTCTTACCCTGGGGTGTGTAACTGCACTCCTGCCCCTTCCTAGCCAGGTCTCGCCTTGCTGTGGCACGAGCTGCTTGGGTGGGGAGGGTTTTTCTTTGACCACGTCCAGGCAAACTGGGTATTTCAGGGCCCTGCGCCTGCGGAGGCCGTGACTTGGTGGCAGATGTGGTCCCTTCTGGCCCTCCAGCGTGAGAGGAGGAGCACGGGGCTGCTGCTGGCTGCCCAGGGCTGGGGCCGTGCACCCCGAAACTCACCCTTTGGGTGCAGCACCATGGGCTGCGGGGGGGGCCAGCGCATCCTGTCGAGGTTGGGAGCACACGGGGACTCGTCCTTCCTTCTGTGCATTCCCAGGAGCAACGCTGCCTTGTATAAATTTACATATGACTTGGCAAAATGTACGTTTGTGTCATTTCTGCAAGAGCAGCAGCCGGCTCTGCTGCTTACACATTGTGGCGGTAATAGAGGTGCTTGAGTTATAGGGAAACTTATTTCATTTTACAGCTCCTACAGCGTTAACAGATGTACAGGCGTCTGATCCAATCATGCAGCCAGAGATTTTGGGGCCAGTTCTTCCAGTTTTGACAGTGTGTAAGCTAGGAGCAGCCATACATTTTACAAACAAGAATAAACGACCCTTAGCAACATATGTCTGTGCTGGCAGCTCCAGCGTAATCATAAATAAGGAACCCTGCTAGGCAGGAATGTATCTGGGCTCCGCATACGGTCAGGACGGACAAAGCATCTGCCTTCTTCCCATTATATTAATGAGGTGCAGGCACTGGAATCCCTACGCTTGTACGGCTGGATGTTGCTGGGTGGGGACAAAGGACTTGGAAAAACAAATGCTAACCCGCGGCAGCGGAGCTTGATTTGGTTTAGAGCCCGAATTCCCTTCTCGCGACGCCTCCCTCCTGCCCGCTGTCGCGCCAGGCTGGCCCGCGCGTTCCCGCACGCCGCTCCCTTCGCGCAGGCCGGCTCGGCCACGCTGGAGCTTCGCTGCACCCTGCTCCCAGCCCAGTGTGGGGACAGGATTCGGGGCTGGAGGGTCCCTTCCCGGCAGCCGGGTGCTGCACGCTGAGGTGGTGAAGCGGAGGATGCCCGCTGTGAACTGTCCCCTGCAGAGCCCAGCGCTGCACTGCTGAGCTGCAGAAGCTCCCCGGGGCTGGGGCCAGGCTCAGCCTGGTCTCTGGTCGCTCCTAAAGCCAAGCCCTGGGCCTCTGCGCCCGCTTAACCGGGTCCTCCCAGCCACCAGCGTCCCTCCGCTTCAGCCCCCTCCCCGAGACAATGGCACAGGGGGCTTTGGGTGGAAAGGGAGAGGGGGGTAGCAGGAAGCTGGGCGCACCCTCATAAATTTCATCCCTACATCGCATTAAAGTGTAGTAGCTAAATTTATTTCTCCTCACAATCAAAACAACACCAGCTTCGGTCCCAAAACAGGAGTGAGATTTCTTCCCCCCAGACGGAAAAAAAAAAAAAGAAAATACTATAAATCCAGCCCAGAGCTGATTTATACAGCATTCATGAAGAATTTATATTGCAAAGAATTTTATTCAATTAAACTTGAAAAGCCTCTAGATTCCTAAGGTTCAATAGTGATCACTGAGACAGAGCTATCATAAAACTGGATGGCCTGTCTGGAGCAGGCATTGAGAAAATGTCTGATGTGACATTGCAGCTGACGGTACAGTCCAAATCAGGAGCATTTGTCATTGGGATGTGTTACAGGCTAAGGCTCGGAAAATTACTCTGTGAAAAATGTGCATTAACAATAGCCATGAAATATCTGTTTGAAAAAAAAAAAAAAAAAAAAAAAGGTGAGTAATGAGACAGCGGTATCTATTAGCACTGGGCATTCTTCAGTCTGACCCCACTCTTGATTAAAAAGTTAACACAAAAGCCAGAGACTTTCGGGAAGGAAGTTTAAGGTTGTTTTACTTAAATAAGTGAAGCGAGGAAGCTGCACGACTGACTTCAAGCTCCCGCTGCTACAAGGGGCAGCCTTGGTGCAGGACAAGGGCCCTGGATGTGCGACCCCCTCGCTGCCCCCAGGCTGCCCTGAGGTGAGGAGGGGAGGATTTAAACTGCTGCGGGCTCGTCCCAGTTCTATTTCCAAGCTGTAAGTGGCTTCGACTTCGCTCTCAGACTGTAGCTGTCCGTATTCTCCACGCAACGTGGGTAGGAAGGTGCGAACTCATTCAGCTGCCTGTAGTTTGCACCCTGGGGATGGTTTTTGGCAGTTTTCACTCCACCGAGGAGGATCTTTTCCGCTGGAGTTACCGTCACCCGCTGCAGGGAGGTTTGCAGCCGGATCCCCCGAGCTCCGGGACAGGCTCCAGTCCGTGCTGGTCCCTCTGTGACAGCGATGTTCCCCGGGTCGGGGTGGATGTTAACGTGCACCCCCCTTGGGTGTCACCTCCCTCCCCCAGCCGGGCCCCTGCCACTCATCACAACCCCTTTATCAAGACTCGCAGAATCCTCCTGCCAGGGATTTGGCCCTTCCTCCTCCCATCCCTCTGTCCTGTGCCAGCCCCGTTCCTGGCAGGGGACGCCCCGGGTTGTCAGCGCGGAGACGTTCTTCACCCACAGAAAGAGAGGCAGCCCGAGCCAAAGAATTGAGCGTGTTCCTGTAAATCTACACAGCTCAGCTTCAGCCGGGGCTGATGGATTGAAAGCAACTTAAAAAAAGCACGCTGGGCTCACTATTAAAGCACGACAGTTAGGGGCCCTTTGGTACAAGTAAATCACGTTTATTATTTCAAAGCCTGTGGACAGTTCCTCCATCTCCGCGCAGTTGCTGCCCCGCACGAGCGTTGTGACTTACGGAGGGAACCCGATTGTTTTCCCTTCCTCATTCCTCAGAGCCCTGTCCAAGCCTTCCAGCAGCACCTGCCCCTGCCCAGGGCCACGAAAACACCCCCGGAATCCAGCCGTGGTTCTCTGAAGTCTCCTGCCTCGCCCCACCCAGGGCCCAGCACCTCCGCCGCCGCGCTAACCCCGGGCTGGCAGGACAGGGCCCAGCGCACGCTCCCCACACCAGCGATGAATCAGGTTCTCGGTGTTGAAGCTGAAAGTTCTTGGCAGCTCACGTTTCCAACCCAGGCTTGTTCTCTTTGCGTTCCTTGACGGGGTCGAGCAGTCTGCTGGATTTAGCTTCCCGTGATCAAGGAAACAAACATTCCGGCTCGCAGTTATGGTTCAGGCTTTATATATATTTTCTCTTCCTTCCCTTCCTTCATCGCAGCGTAACGCGCCAAAACGAAGAGATAGTCGCTAAGTCTGGAAACCAAGGGAAGAGCAGTGAAACCCCTTTCTCGCATCAGGCGTGTTTGTACCCAGCAACGCGCAAGAACCGCGAGTGAAGGAATGCAGAGAGAGACCACCCAAGAGGAGCTTTCCAAAACAGCTTCCCGTAAAAAAGTCGGAGGTGGTGTCTGCAAACACGTGGCCCTCGCAAGAATCCCTTTTAACGAGCTGCTCGTAGAAACTTCAAAGATCTTACTCTAGAAGGGAAGCTTCTCGAGAGGTAAAACCCTGCAGCTTTATCTCAAGGCTAAAGGAACACCACCAGGCGCACGGCAGTAGCACACGGTAAGGGTTTGGGATTTGATTATTTTTTTTTACCTGTTCAAATATTTGGCCACGTTTGGATCTGCTTCCCCTGCTTGTACTAAAGGAACCACGCTACAAAAAGAGAAGGAAGATTTCAGTGTATTTTTCTAGCTCTGAATGCACAAAGAGCTGCGATTTGTCAGAGCACCAGCCTCCACACCCCAACCTCACCCGAGCCCCCCCTGTCCGAGTCCCCACAGCAGGTGTGAACACCCTTCACTGCCCCGAGAGGAGCCTTAACACAATGGATTTCTGTGACTGGAGGAGCAGCTCCACTCTAGAGGATGCTCATCGCTGAGCATCACTGAACAACGGGAGAGGTTCGCAGGACCGTTATCCTTTCCTGCAGGTAAACAGGGACCCTTCTTTTGTTGAGGGAACAGAGCTGTGCCGTGCGTGCCTCCTGACTGCTGTACAGCCCTCATTCGAGCTTCCTTTTGACAAGAAACCACTGACTGTGACGTTAGGGTTTTTTTTGAAGATCACACTGCTCTGGTGTATCTTGTCAGAGCAGCAGTCCTCACGGCGGAGCACATCCACAAAAATCACTTCCTGCACATCAGGGGCTTCAGTAGAGCACCCCCAGCAGCTTGGAACTTTGCGCGGAAGCAATTTATATAACAAGCAGGCAGGAGTTTTCTTCTCTGGGCCTTACCATGGGAGTTTTCATCTCCAACAGGGAAGTGGGACAAGGTAGGTGTGGGCAGGAACACCTTCAGCTTCCCTGGCTCTCACACCTGCCAGTGCCCCAGCTGCCTCGTGTGCCTACAAAATACATCCAGCAAACCAGGTACGAGCTGAACACATGGATTCATCTCATCATAAACCTGGCTAGTCTTTCTGAAGGTCTTGGCTCGGATGACCCAGTTAGGGAGGGAAGAGAGACTTTGCTTTTTGCTGACTGCATCCCAGGAATTTGACTAATACAAACACAGGAAGCTCGACCTGAGCTCTAGCCGAGCGCACAGCCATGGCTGATTGCTCTGGCCACAACGATTTGCTATTGTTACAGCATTCTGATCACTTTTTATCAATTTTATGCTGTTACACTACAGCCAACACTCACCACCTTTCAGCTCTGCGGCAGACAGCTCGGGAAAAATGGAGAGCAGCACTGCTTTTACCTCCTGACTGAAACAACAATGAAACAGCACGTTAGTGTCTGCGAACAGCAGATACAGCCATCCACCTTATTGTACCACTGCAGCAAAGCTTATCACATCTCGCACACACGTGCGGCTGAGGCCTATATTGTGGCCAGGAAACTGAGAAGAGATATCTGACTGCAGTAGGAAGTGGAAATTTAACTTAATCGGGTCCTTCTCTCTGCTTTTCTTTCGGTATTTGTCCAGGCAAATAATGGCCTCGCAACCTGTTTCCCTGCGGCAAGCGTGGAGCAGATTTAGCCTAACCAAGTGAGCCTCCTCCAGTCAGCGAGGCAGGAGCAGTACCTACGGGCAGGATGAAAGCTCTGAGTGGAGGAAGCTGCTCCGAGTAACTGTCAATCCACTGCTCCAGCTCCAGAACTGGCTTCTCACTGAACGATGTTCGTTCTACAGAAGGAAAAGAAGAATCAGCTAAAAGAGAGGCAGAAGTGATTCGGTTTAAGAGACAGAGCTTTACTTTCATATTTCTTGGGTCAGCGAGTCCTAAGAAAGCATCCCAAAAAGATACCCCCCAGCCAGAGCAGGGCTGGCTCCCCGTTCAGCAGCCACAGCTGGGTGTCAGTGCTGAGGCAGCGACCGCGCGTTCCTTCAGCACCAGAGAGGCACCGGGGTGCAGCCCGGGGGCAGCTCTAACCCCACACCCCCAAACAACCCTCTCTCTAGGAGAGCTGCGATTCAGGAACCCAGGAAAGGGACCGTGGGGCTTACTTAAGTGAGCCTCCCTGGCTGAGGAGAGAGGCGTGGCGATGTTGGAGCCCACATCCTGCAGCATACACTGGACCTAGATGTGGCAATCAGGACAAAAATAAGAAGCTCTTCCATTAAGCAGCCTTTGATGCTCCGGTACAACTGCAGCAAGCTCTGGGAGGCGACAGCTGGTTGTGCTGATTAAAGAAGATCCTACCCTTGTTGTTCATCATCCCCCAGCCTGCTGGCAGGGGGGATCAGATAAGTGCTCCCTAATTGCTTTATGAGAAGCCAGATTAGCGCATGTACTTGTTTTCACTGGCACATTAAACCACCCTGGCTGACTTTGCAGAAAGCAGGCTGGGGAGCACTCACATAATCCCTTTGCTGGTAGGACACCGAAGCAGTAACCTCTGGAAGAAAGGCAGTGACAAGCACAGCGCTGGCCTGATGTCACATCCGCTTCCACGAGGGGCATCTCTCCATCCACAGCCCAGGGTACTTGAGAGGCAGCTGGGGAAAGCTTTTTAAAATCTCTGACTAGCTCCTTCGGTGTTCTTGGACACGGCAAAGCTAATTAACAAAACTCAGAGACTGCCACAGCAGGACCTGTCTCCCACCATGGTTACTTTGCCACCGTTTCAAATCTGAGGCTACGTGACAAGACTTGTATCCAGAACTCTGTCCAGCAATAGGGCTGAACAACCTGGAGGTACGTTTGTCTGCCCACAACTAATCACTTGATCTACCAATTTCTTCCTTGGTTAAAGAAATTTATTTCTTAGAGAGTAATAAAAGCTCAGAGTCTTAAGCAGCTATTTATTTTAATACTAAATTTATTAAATTCTCGTGTGTCGGTGGGAGCACCGTGTCTAAAACTACAGACTTTAAGAACAGCACAGATGAAGTGACTGCACTGCGGGGGGTTTATCATTAATACTCACTTTGTGAAGCTGTTCCACAAACGCGTGGCCCTTTTCACTGCAAAATTCACCGGCGAGCCTAGGTTAAAAAAAAACCAAAAAACCACAACAGAGTTAGCTAGAAATGACAAAATTACCGTCTGAAAAACAGAGAATTTGGACACGGCTGGCTGTTTGTCAGTGCAACCCTCCAGAGAAATCTGGCCCGCGGCGTATCCCCTTTGCTCTGGCTGGGCGGTGGGACTGGGAGAGCAGCTCTTAAGGGAAGAGGAGGCCCAGGAGACCCCCGAGAAGGGGGCTGGGGCGGTGTCACAAGGCCTTTGTGCGTGCGAGGGGCCTGGGGAGGGCCAGAGCCCCTCGGGCTGGTGGCCAGTTCCCCAGAAAGCTGGGCCACCCCGGCAGGACACGGCTGGGCCGCCACGGCCCGGCAGCAGGACGGGGTCTGGGGCGGGGGGGGTGTTACCCGATGGCCGAGCTCAGTTCGTCCGTGGCTCCCAGGGCTTCGAAGATCCGGTCCCCCTTCGGCCTCCGCTCCCCGGTGAAGGTGCTGGAGAAGCCTTTGGGGAAGGCCCGGGGGCGGCGCTCAGAAGCCAGGCCCGGCCCAGCGGACCCGCGGAGGTCAGGACCTGCGGACGTTCCTCCGGCTGAGGCCCAGCGCTGAGGGCAGGGTGTGCGTCCGCCTGCCCGGCGTCGGCGTCGTGAGGAGCTGGGACACCCCCCGCCTCCAGGCCCTGCGGAGGGGGGTTGCAGGCAAGAGCTGGGAGGAGGAAACCGCTGCCCCTGCGCCGTGGGGGGGCTCTCGGCCCTGCCCGGTCACTGCGCTGGGGCCCCCGGGGGGTGGCTCTGCTGTGTGTGTCCCCCCCGGGGGGTTAGTTGTTCCCGCTGCAGACTGTTGCTGGGTCTTGTTGTCTCTGACCACGCTCCGTGTGTGTTGAACTAACGTGTCCCTGCACACTCACACCCGGGCACCCGCACCCCCTCTGTGTGCCTCTCCTGACCTGCCTGATGCTCTGGGACCTGTGACTGGCCCTTGCCGTGGCTGTCTCCTCCTCTTTCAGGTTCCCGTGGGTTTGTCCTAGAGCTGTCGTAGCTCAGGGAGTGTTGTAATACATCCAGGAGCCAGCCAGGCGCCACATCCAGGTGTATTGCTGATGGGGAGCCAAAAAAAAGAGTCTCTGAAGCTGGTCTGATTTGAGGACTCCTGGGGAAGGCAGGATACGGGGCCTGTTTTCCTTCCTCTCTGCCCCATGCCAGCCCTCGCTGGAATTTCTGCAGCGTCTGTGTGGAGCCCCTGAGTGGTGGTTGTGCCATTTTCCACCGGAGGACCTGGCGTTAACTCCTGTGACCCTCACGAGCACCGTTTGCATAGCAGAAGGCTGAACAGTCTGCTGTGTCAGAGTATCAGTAACTTCTCTCAGCGCCGCTCAGTTCTCTTATGCTGATGCGAGCTCCCGGCCCTTTGGAGTTCAGACTTGTGTGAAGTGCATGAGAACATCCACGTTCTTAAATAAAGAGTGTGACTTGCCAAGTTCTGCATAGTGGTGGGGGGTGTGCACTGGAAGTGTAGGCAGGGGGAGAGTTGCTGTAATACGACGTAGGTGTGGGGTGTGGAAATACCAGGGTTTCAGAGTGGCTGGTGGAGATTTTGCTTTTATTTTATCGTGAACCCTCAGGTAGGAAGTTTGTAGGTGAGATCTGGAATTGGCTCAGTCTGTTTCTTCCTACTATAACAGTTGTTCTTGTGAACTTGTTCAAGTTTAAAAATTCCCTGGTTTCTAAGTGTTTAAATTCTCCCCTGCTTGCTTCCATAGCTGACTTTGATGAATCTAAGCCCCCCAGCGTAGAACAGCTGGATACACTGAGAGAGTTTGCTGGAATCGCTGCCGGAGCCTCAGCTCCCGAGAGCCTTGCTACTCTTGCCTTTCTTTATATGTGCCTGGCTATTTCGGCTAAGTATGGGTAAGGCTGTCTTCCTGCCCCAAAACAAACATGCTGTCATGAGTGTTGTTCGCCATTATTTGCTTCTGCAAGGTCATGGGAAGACACCAAATCTTTGAGGCCGAATAAGAAATTACAAGGAATCTCACTTCTGAGCACCTCAGGAGACCTCCTTCAGAGCTGAGCTGTTTGGGTGGGTGGGGTGGCCCAAGCAGGGGGGCTGGAAATCGTCTGCTCTCATTTTTGAGGTGCTTAAGTCAGAGCTGTTCATCCCGCCCCTCTGCGCAGTCAGCAGAAGCAGAGACAGACATCCCTCCCTCCAGCAGGCAGCTCATTTCAACCTGGCTTAGGTTAGGAAAATCCGTGACAGAAATGAGCTGTGAATTCATTGTCTGATCCCTCTTGTGGGCTGAATCTCCCTAAAAATAGGAGAACTTGGGGTAACTGCAGCTGAGGGCTGGTTTCTACACTTGACTTGGCGCTGCTGATGGTACCAGTAAGTGCCTGGGTGCTCGGGGCAGCGCCCAGTACAGCACTGCTCGCTGTTTTAAACCAAGTCAGAACCCGACTTCAATATTCGTAGCAAAGGAATAAAGGTTAAAGGATTATGATGGGTCGCTGCATCGTGTTTTGCTTTGCGGTCTCCGAGTTGCTTGTTGATAGCACTGGGGCTGTCGTCAGCCTGCTCTGAAACCATTGGGTCATAGTTCATGTCACTCACCAGCCCGTGAAAAGCTCCTGGGTTTGATGTTGGGGACTGTAACACAACCCGGACGCCTTCGGTGGAGAAAAGGGGCCCGTGGGCCTGGATCTGTGTGTGTTTCATCTTCCCCATCAGCCTGTCGCTCCAGTGGGATGTAACTATGCAGTTAGGGATTTGGGCTATTTATGCTTTATTTAGAAACGTGTTTAAAATCATGTTTACAGCAATCTTTGAAGGGTCTCTTTATGGTGCTACTCAAGTATTTAGTTACTAAGTGCCCCTGCTAGTAGCTTGACAAGCTGCGCTAATCATAGATCCAATTCAGCAAGGCTTTGTTCTAGTACAATGGCTTAGCAAGGCTACTCAGCTGTGCTAACTGAGCACTCGTGAAGCCCGTGTGTCTCCGATGTGTATGCATGTGCTGATGTTGCCAGTTTTCAACCAGCTTTTCCCATGATGAGCCCTAATTGGCATCTTTTTTTGCCTTTGAAATGTTGCCTCGAGATGGAATTCAGGGTCGTTGTGATACATCCTGCCTGTTTGTGTTTCAGAGATGTTCCCAGTGTGGACATACTGGTGTGGTCTGAGCTGCCCACGGGAGCTGGGCTGGGTTCAAGCGCTGCCTTCGCCGTGTGCCTGGCGGCCGCCCTGCTGACAGCGTGCGGAGCCATCTCGTGCCCTCTGAAGGAGGGGGAGCCCACAGCCAGGTAACGCAGCATCGCCTGGGGGAGCCTGCCTGCTTTGGGTGCACGGCCCGGGGCAGCTCTGCTCTCCAGGCCCCTGTTTGTCCTTTCACCTGCACAAATTCTGGCACGGACACCTCTCTTGGTCTCTCTGGCTGAGTCCTGGGCTGTGGGCGCAGCAGTGGTGCTCCTTCCCCTTCCTCTCCCATCACTCGTGCCCCATCCCATGGCTCTGACCTGTGAATCCCGGCTTTACGATTCGCTTCTTCTGGTAAAAGCAACTGGATGCAGAAACTTTGTCAAAATTGCACCATTTCCTTTGTTTAGTGTGAGATACGCATTAAAAAAAAATGCTTTATTTTGCCAAGCAAATAAAACACACACTTTAACGTGAAATTTTTTTTAACCTCAATTTCCTTTCTGGCCCTGAGCATCTTCCAGATTTTGTTTGAGTCCTCAGGGAGTCAAGGATCCTTCCTGGTTTCTCTGCATTGTCACGTGAATTTATTTTTTTTTTCTGCATGTGGTACATTTCCTCCCGATCTCCTGCCTGAGTTTCCCCTTTATCAGTGGCTGGTGAAAGGAACTTTCTTTCCTTCTGCCCTTGGGTTGCTTTCCCTTGGAGTTCAGTCTTGAAAAACTGGTCTGCTCTGCTGTGTGTCTGAGGAGGCTCTGTTTAAAGATGCGTATCACAGCTGGAGTGGCAGAACCCTCTATTGTGCTCTCGGTGCCAGGTGCAACCTTTTATGGTTGGCTTCTGTGGATTTTCTGTGGGACTGAGACAGCAAGAGGGGGTGACTGTGCTCTGCTTCAAAAACAGAGTTTGCAGCCTGACCCAGAAACACGTTCCTAGAGCAGAGCCATTTGTGTGCTGTGCTCAGGCAAATCTCCCAAACAGTCACACGGCACGAGAAATGAAAGGCCGGTTCCAAACCAGGCAGCGAGGATGTCTTCATTCCCTCCTCGTGCTTCTTAGCTTCAGCTTGAATACAGCGTAATTTTTTTTTTCTTCCTTCCAGCTGGCATGCAGAGGGGTAAGTGAGAGATGGGGGTGTCAGACTTCAGAAGGTTTTTGCTTAATGTCGCAAGAAAAGAACAGCGTGATATAATGACTCCTGTGTAGAGAAGAATCGCAGCCTCTCAAAGAGGATTAAAAACAAGTGGTTTACAGCAAACTGCGCTTCTATTTTGAGTAGCGGTGGTGCGAGCTGTTTTCCTGAATGCTTCACAGATTAAATATTGGCAAGGGAAATGAAAGGTGTGTAGAGATGGATAAAGACATTCAGCTGAGGCCCGGGGAAGTGGGGAGTTACAGGAAGCAGCTTCTACATAGCAGGTGGCTCTCAGAATTTCTGCCTCGCTTTAGCAGCAGTCAGTTCTTGTTATTTTATGTAAGGCTGTGTGATGCTTTTCCAAAGTCCGTGTTTGCGCTTCTGCTCCATCATGTAATACCTTTTCTGGGCCCCGTATTCTAAAGACCTGTCGACTGCACGTTCTGGCTGCGCCAGACGCCGGCTCTGAGCTCTGCAGAGCATCGCTGGGAGATCCCACACCGCTGTGCATTGGCCCCTTTGAACGGTGCCTTGGAGCCCACGCTCTGTGTCTGGACTGCAAAGCAGGCAGTGCTGCGTCACGGGGAGGGTCAGAGATGAGCATCCGGGTGCCCACGTGAGTCCGAGCGTGGCCCAGGAGGGTGCGGGAGGGCTCGCGGGCTCCCTGTGGGCGCTGAGCTTTCCTTGGGGCGCCGGGGTTTGGGAGAGTCCATCAGCGTGGAGCCAGGAGTGGGTTTGAAATGGGCTGGGGGGCTCGGAGGGGGGCTGTGTGGGTGCGTGCCCCGCAGGCCCGGAGCAGTGGGGATTTGAGAGGCGCCGGGGAAGAAATCGCTTTGCGGGAATTGCGGTCAAGTTGCAGCCAGCAATCGCTCTGTAACTGGCAGCTCTGCGTTTGCTTTTTGTGTTGCTGCAGCCCATTAATTAGTATGTTCAGTCAGGGGCCTTGATCCTTGCTGAGTCTGACCCAGCACCAAACTCTTTGTGCCAGCATTTAAACTCTCAAAGCACTTACCAATTTATGTGACTGCTTTTAAGACAAGACCTGGTTTTGTGTTTTTAGCATAACACCTTCTGGATCTGCATTTGGTTCCCTTCTGTGCTCTAAGTGCCAGCACCCGCTGTAGCTTGAAGTGTTAGGAGTTAATCCCTAAAAATCAAAGTCTTTGCTGGAGACAGTAAATCAGTTCTAACTACACCTTTTGACCCAATTTGTGAGGCTTCTGCAGCTGAGCAGCTGGCAATCAGAGGCTGAAGCTGCACGTGTGAAATGCAACTTTTATGTTCTCTTCTCACGTTGTGCCTTCTTCGTCTATAAATGTGCCGTTCTGCCTGTTGGCGAGCGGGATCTCGGGCCAAGATGTGTGGTAACACGGAGCGTCAGGGAGTTGGGGTTAGGTCTGGGCTTGCGTTCGGTTAGATCTGATCTAGCTAGGCCAAGGCTAAGATCTTCTCCCTCCCTCGCCGCGGGCCTGCTGCGGGAGCCCTGGGGAGCAGTTTTGCCTCTCCCCTCGTGCTGTCTCTGGCCGTGCAGCAGCGTGGGGACTGGGGGTGTGGCTCTGTGCTGCCGTGCAGAGAGGGTAAGGTGCTGGAAACGGCGCTGCCCGCCCTGTGCTGAGAGAGGGCACAGGGGGACTGGCAGGGCTGGGGCTTCCCACAGCAACTGGTACGCCGCCCTCTGCTTTTGTACCTCCTGCGGCCTCCGGGACTTCTCTCCCTCCACGTGTGCTGGTTTCGGTTGTGTATTGGAGTCATTTTCTTGCCTTTCAGGTGGACAGAAGAAGAGCTGACTTTGATTAACAGCTGGGCCTTCCAAGGGGAGCGGGTGATCCATGGCAATCCCTCGGGCGTGGATAATGCTGTTGGTACCTGGGGTATGTGAGCGTTTGCTGCTCCCCGGCGCTGAGTAGGGGTGCTGAGGGGAGGCTGACGGGGTGACAGAGCAGCGGATGAGGTTCCGTGCCCCGCTGTAGAGCGCGCATCAGCTGCGGGAAGGTGGGGAGCAGATGCCACAAGTTTGCATTTTTGGAGGTGGTAAGGTGGGGTTGGGGTTGCTGCAGGGACGCTGGATGCCTCGCTGCGCTGAAGTGCAGCAAAGGGACCAGAAACTCCCCAAATTCAGGTCCCCACGTTGATCCAACTAGAGGTAATCCTCTTCTGTCGTGCTTTGCCCCGTCTGCAAGCTGGGACTGGGGCCAGCTGGGCTGCTGGGGACTCACTGCACTAACACCAGAGATCTGCATCCCCCAGGCAAGTGCCGTGGGGCAGTGACCCTGCTGCAAATAACTGATATTTAAACACTCTGGCATGAACAAAGAAACCTAATCCTGTCCCAAGGATAATGCAGTAGAAAATGCAGTTGGACAGCTGTCACTTAGTTTCAATTAGCAGAGATTTCCAAGCGTTTTGGAAGTGTTCTTGGAGGCTTTTAATAATCTTTCTAATGAGACCTAATCGCAATGCCTCTGTAAAAGTAGGAGTCAAGTGAAACATTCCTTCTGGACAATGAAATTCCGTGCTGAAGGACGGCTGGCTGACATGAGTGCACACGTTCAGTCCAGTTTGAAACCTGCGTGCTTGGCTCTGCCCCAGGGAATCGCTGCTTGATTCTTGCTTTCGGTAAAGATTTAATGCTGGCCGAACTCTTTGCCTTTTAAAAAAAATACTTCATGTGGTCCCAGAGTGGAGGGGAGTCCAAAGGGAAAGGCGCTGGGTTAACTACGTCCGGCCAGAGCCTCTCATTAAGTCAGCAGGGTTAGGCAGATTCATGCTTTCTGAGAACATGGTTCATTTAGCTGGTGTGCCTTGCAATTACTGTCATATGCTCTGGGTGAGGTTCTAAAGATGAAAGACCTTCTGTCTCTGACGACACTGTTATCTCTCAGCTGGCTGTGTACTGAGACAATGCATGTATTTTACTTTAGGTGGAGCCCTGAGATACCAATCAGGAAAAATCACACCATTAAAGAGGTAATATTCGAGTTTAAAAATAACACTTAGATGCGGTGGGTGGAATATGTCAAAGAGGCATCGGGTGGATCTTGTAGGGTGTGAGGTGGACGGGAGATCGCTGACAGCGTGGCAGGAGGGCTTTGTGGCCAGATTTTGCTGTGGGTGTGGGTGGCTTGAGCCTTGTCTTGGTTTGGGGTGGACGGGAACAATGAAATGTTTGGTCATTATCTGACATTAGATGAACACAGCGCAAAGGATCAATATTAATTTCATGGCATTATGGGCAGCAGGAACAGATCTGCTCCTGGCAGCAAATGACATTGTGGGGAGGGGGAACTTTTTCCTTACCTGGTGGTAGGACTGAGTGAAAACCGAGCTGCAGAGACGAATTCAGGTCCTGCGTGTTCCCTCTGCCTCCTGCCAATGAAGTATAATCTGACTCCATTAAAATCTTTCACAGTGCATGAAATTGCTCTATTAGCAGTTAATGGCTACTGCTGGCTAGTCTCATAGATAGTATTTCAAAGGAAAGATTTTGCTTGAAAAACAAGGATTTCAGTAAATACGTTACAGTCCTATTTATAGCGCTATTACAGTTGTTCCTTTTATCTAAGAGGAACAAGCCTGAACCCAGCCGGCACGTAAGCACCTGCTTAACTTTTTAGAAACTAAGAGACTCCTTATCTTGGGTGACTTGCTCGAATAGGCCTTTTGAGGCAGAACAAACCGTAGCTGTCTGGGCCTTGAGAGCTGCTGGGGGACTGCGAAGGGAAGAGGCAAGGAGATGTCTCATCTTGCTTCCAGGGTGCCGATGCTGAGGATCTTGCTGACCAACACAAAAATCCCTCGAAGCACCAAGGTCCTGGTGGCTGGTGTCAAGGAGAAGCTCCTGAAGGTGCGGCGGTCGCGGGGATGGAGACGTGGGCTGGTGCAGGGAGGGGGGGTCACCCTCAGGAGCTGGGGTCTCCTCCTGTGGGACTGCAGGTCTCACGGGGATCCCTCCCGCGGTCGCTGCAGCCCTGTCTGCTGCTGGCGAAGGCCCAGCTGCCCTGGGAACGGGGGTTCGGCTCTCACCGCCTCCCTTTCTCCAGCATTAACAGGGCTTGCGACAGAAATCACCAGCTTGCAACCGTGAAAAGAGTAGTTCCTTCCTCTGGCCTGTTTCCCCCCCTCTTCCTCCATTTTCTGCAGGTGGGAGCAGCTTGCCATTGCCCTGCCCTGCAGTGGGTTTTTCTGTGAATGAGTAGCTCCACATGGGGTGGGGAATTGTCCAGCTCAAGGAAACTGGGGCCAGTTTCATCACGGTGGTATCAGAAGCCTAGCGAGCTGTCTTCTCACATCTTGCCTTCCTCCTTTCTCAGTTCCCTGCTATAATGAACCCGGTGCTGGACTCCATCGATGCAATTTCTCAGGAGTGCCAAAGTGTTCTGGAAGCGATGCCTGCAAATCCATCACCAGAGTATTACCCTGTGCTAGAGGTAAGGGGCTTGTTCGTCAGTATTTTTAGACACTGTTACTGTTGAACATCAAAATGTCATTTAAAGAGCGTTAGGTCTAAGAAAAAAAATTGATAGCAGGAAATGTTCAGTTCTGAGTGAAGCCGTGGTATGTGTGCGCTGCTTTTAATGCCGTTCCCGGAGCCAAGGGACAGAAAATGCTGGTGGTGTCTCTGCACAGCAGCGTGCGGGGAGGGAGGGAGGGAGGGAGCGGGCCTGGTGCTTTGTGGACCTGTAGCTCTGGAGGCTTTGTTTCCCTTTGCTAAGAAACGTGGAGTGATTTCAGGCCGAGACACGGCCTCCCTGCGCCGCCGGCCAGCCACGCTCGCTCTGGCAGTCGCTGCCTGTGAAGCAACTGCTTTGTCACTGCCAGGGCTGGAATGAGGAGCGGAGAGCCCAGCAGCCACTGGTCTGTGATGGGCTGGTTCCGAGCCAGCTCCCATCGCTCTGCACTCATCCTGGCTCCGGAGAATTACAGACAGAGTTGTGCCCAGAGCTGACCTGACATTGATGCATGAGGTGCATACAAAGATCTGTGTTTGTCTTGGCTTTGTCCAGAGTCGGAGAGGCTGCCGTGGTGGGGGGAAAACACGCTTCCAAGTGGAAGAAGTTTATTGCTGAGAGCACTGTAATACCGATTCGTACGACCGTGGGGTAGGGATGTGTGGCAGCATCCCAGCTGGGGCAAACCTGCCCTGGCCCTGGGTGCCAAGGGACTCCGACGATGAAGAGCCATTTGGTACCAGTGGTGCGTTTTTTTTGTTGGCATCTGGATCCCTCCCCTAGCTCTCCCACCAGGACTTCTGCTTGTCCTTGCTCTAGCTGGCAGGTTGTCCCCTCCACAGCCACGAGAGTGCTCTGGAGGTGCAGGAGAGGGCCCTGGGGTGGGACAGAGCTGCTGTCCCAGCTCACCCTGTGGCAGCCGTTAGCAGATGCTTGGTACAGCCACCTTCTCGCTTCGGGCTGTGGTAGCACCCCACCGCCCGGGGGTGAGGCGCTGCTGGGGCTGCGGGATTCAGAGCAAAGACCTTCTGCTCCCTTTGCACCTAGAGGGTGGTGGGTTTCTGCACCCCTCAGGGTGGGCCGATGCTAACGAGGGCTAAGCTGGTGTCAGCGGGGGGAGATCTGGAGCCCGGGGAGCAGCACTGCAGTGAGCAGGTTTGTCTTGAATCTGTTGTTTTGTCTCGGGTTTGAATTGCCCGCAGAGGCACGGTTGATTATAGATGCAGTGTATAGAGATAGGTTTTTTTTTTGGAGGGGGGGCTGTTTCTGAAATGCGCAGTTCTGGACAGCATTGTATTTGAACCATCGAACTAGTCTACTGTGTCATAAGCTGTCATCCGATTCCTGGCAGGTTTTGGATCAGGAGATGACAGGTGTCTTGGATCATCACAGCCAGTGCCAGGCCCTCGCTCAGGCATATAAAGAGGCCTCTAGATGGGCGCCTGTCCGACCCAGCACAGAACTTGGGATCTAGGCACTCTGCATGCGACAGGCTAATTCATCTCCTCGCGTTCGTCTAAACGCGGTACAGAAATGCTCTGGAGTGGGCGGGGGGAGAGGGATTCTTTCTACGTTGTCCCCTCCAGTGTGGTGTTGGCAGGAGGCCTGTGTGGAGCTGAGGGAGGGTGACATGGCTGACACCCGCCGTGCTGCTGCGCCCCTCCTGCCTGGCTGCGCCCCTCCCGGCTCACCGCAAGATGCAGGCAGGGAAGTGTTTGGTAGCACCAGCTGGAGGAGGGAGCCCAGGGCTCCTGTCACAGAGCTGGTCCCATCTTGGCTGGCTCCCTGCTTGTGACACCCTCCGGGACAGCGAGGGGAAGAGCCGCCACATGCCGGGGAGGTGATGGATCCAGACCAGCGTTGCTGAGAAGGAGCTTCCTCCAGGGATGGTGCTGATGAGCTGGGAGGGCGATGCCATGCCTGGGGGCCTGGTGTTGGTTCCTGGCCCTGCTCCAGGCTCTGAGTGCCAGCCAAGCCCTTCCCTCTGTTCCGTAATTCCTCACCTCTAGTGCTGGAAGGAGAGCAGCTGTAAGTCCCACCTCTGTGTGGTGTCGTCCATCCCTTGGGCCATTTGGACTTGGCTGCCGGTGGCAGCTTTCTCCAGGAGCAGCGGGGTTTGTGGCTGGCTGGGCCAGCGTGGCAGAGACGTGCTTGCCACTCATCAGCTGGGCAGCTCTGCTCAGAGGGCAGCCTTGCTCGGAGAGGGGCTTGTGCTGCCCTCCCCTGAAGGAGGGACCCTCTCAACCCGACTGGAGCTGGGTGCCAGATTCCCAGCGTGGTGCTGGTGAGAGGGCCCTTGGCTCGCAGCCCAGGCCCTGCCCGTGAGGAGGGAGAAGTGCTGCACAATGCAAACAAGGGGAAGGAACTCCGCGTCGCCTCTCCAGCGATGCCGTTTCGGACTTGGCTGTGTCAGAAGTCCCCTGGATTTAGTTACGCTGGGTGGATTGCAGAGCAGGGCAGGGTGACAGCCAGGAATGAGAGGCGCTGGCTCAGCGCCCTTCCCACGCCAGCGCGGGGGCTCACACAGCCTTCTGCTCAACCATCGTGTGACAGGGGAGAGGTGAAGCAGTGGGGAGGCCTCAGGAAGCTCTGATTTAGTGCCTGAACTAAACGCCTGCTGTCAGCTTCACAGAATCTCCTCGGTTAGAAAAGCCCTCTGTCACCGTGCGTGCTCATCTGGTGTGTTTGTGGTTGCTTTTAGGAACTCTTTGATATAAACCAGCACCACTTAAACGTGATCGGAGTCGGCCATCCCTCCCTGGACAGGCTGTGCCGGGTGACGGCGTCCCACGGCCTGCATAGCAAGCTGACAGGGGCCGGTGGGGGTGGCTGTGGCATCACCCTGCTGAGACCAGGTCAGTAACCCTCCGCTCGCCCCGGGCATCCTTCCCCCGTCCTGGGGGCTCGCGTTTGGAAGCAGCAGGATGCGATGCTGGCCCTCGTAGGGCCGTGGTGGGGCGTGGAGCCGCGTCACGAGCGCGGGCTGGAGTCTCGCAGAGCCGCCTGGCAGCGTGGTTTCATGCAGGGGTGATTTTGTGCGTTCAGTTACGTGCGTCAGACCTTCAGGGCCTTGGCCCTGTTCCCCGGGGCGTGTGTTCCAACATGCAGTGGCCCGTTGCGGTCTCCCTGCAGCAGCCGAGCTGACTAACTGGCTGCTCTTGCCTTCCTCTTGGCAGACACCTCCCCGCTGGCCGTGGAAGCAGCCAAGCGAGACTTATGTGCCTGTGGATTTGAATGCTGGGAGACCAGTATCGGGGCCCCCGGAGTGACCCTCCACTCCTCCTCGTCTTTAAACACCGAAGTGCTGCACGCGCTCTCCAAGAGTTAAGCTTCTGCCTCTGGCAAGACTGAGCTCTTGGCACCGTGTCCTCAGAGCGATGGTTTTGTGTGCCCCCGACTCCTGGAAACTTCTCTCCTGCTCTCCTGTGCGGCTGAGGGCTTCTAGACGTGGCTGTGGAGCCAATTTCGGGCCCGGTGTCTCGGGGAGTGGGGGCTGCAGTGAGGACCTGGGAGCAACCGCTTGCGCTCGGGCGAGGTGGGCATTTGACCCAGGCTCTCAAAATCCTGTTTTGAATTTCCTTACTCAACTGCTGTGCTAATCCCAAGGGGCAGGAGGAGAGGGTCTTGGCTGGATTCCAGCGCAGATAATGACACTTTGCTTGGTTCTGCTGCTTCAGATGCATGTGGTGTCTCTTCCCTTCTCCCCCGGTGTCCTGTGAGCCGAGGCTGGCGAGGTGGATGTGCCGAGCACTTTGACATTTTCGGGTGAAAAGCATCGTGGCAGCTCAGGGCTTGACACTCAGGTCTCTGTTTCTCCTGGACTGCAGTTCACGGTGGAGAGGAAACCTTTAAATGCAGCTCTTGCCTGCTGCTAATTAAGAGTTGTCTAGTTAAAATGGAACATACAGCACAACTCTAATGAAATTATCACGGTTTTCACTCGTGCCCACAGTCTCTGCCTGGGCTGGTAAGCAGGGTCCCGTAGCCAGACTGGTTTCGTTTGTGTGCTGGAGGTCTGGTTCAGGCAGGAGCTGTCACCTGCGAGGAGGGCGCCTAAGGGCAAGGGCAGGCTTAAAATTTCTACTTGCAATCGCTGTTCTGGGATCTCTCTGGCTTCAGTCTTAAATGAGCGTGCCCTTGACCTTGCCTGTTGTTGGGTGTGTGAAATGTGCCACTGCCAGGGCGGGGGGGGACAGAGGGGGCAGGCAGTGGGAAGAACGCTAATTTGATTTAGTTCGAAGGAATTGTTCTTTAAATAGGAAAATAAAAAACCCACACGACGAAACCACCTCCTCGGAAGTTGACCATAACTTGGAATTGGCAAACTAGAAAGCCTAAAAGCATCTAAACTTCTTACGCAAATGTAAATGCAGTTTTTACTTGTGAAATTTTAATGAATTGTACCACGGAACTAAAGGGAATCGGCAGGTACGTGTCTGAAGCCAAAGTATCTTGAAGTAATAAGCTGACTCTTTGTGGCTGTGGTCTCTTCTCTGCCTGCCAAAGAGATTTTATCATTTTCTGTTTGTCTGGGGATTTTTAAGTGTAGCTCTGTTCAAGAATTGCTCCATTCAAAGCTGAGTAATAAATTGACAGAGGTGGGGGAGCTCACCTTCCTCTTCCCCTGCAGGAATAAAAAAAAAAACAAGCGTGAGAAGTCAAGATGTACTAGCTCTAAAATCCTGACATCCTGATGACCAGCTTTAGTTCACTGATCAGATGTAAAACTGTCTCTGGTTTTAATAAATTGATGGGGTTTTTTTTTTATGTGCAAAATGTTCTTTGATAATTATGCTGCATACAAAAGGAAAAAAGTACCTTACACCGCTTCAGTAAAAACAGGTTTCAGATGCTGGGTTCCTACATGTCTAATTACAATTCCAATTTGCATCCAAGAACGGCTTTACACTAATCACAAGTCAGAAAGCCTGATAAATAATTCACCGTTTCCTAATACAGTGTAATCAATGTGAATATCTGGAAGCGTGTTGACTCTCTAACCACTTAAATGTGTCTGTAGTTCCTCCTGGTTAGCACAAAGAAATGCCAGATTCGCTGCGAAGAAACTTCGCTTCAAAACGACCTGTCTGGGGCTGATCCTCATTAGCTGCTTTCCTCGAGAACAGCCTCGCAGTCACCGCGCGCCTGCTGGAGCCGCACGGCAGTGGAGGCCCCCGTCGCAATCTCCGTGGGCTGGTTTAAATCGTAATTAAAATTAGGGGTTTAAATAGACCGACTCTTGAGGCCTCGGGGTGCTGGGCCGGGCTCGGGGGCAGTTCTGGGGGAGCAGGGTGCTGCAGGGCCCAGAGCTGCCCAGCTGAAGCCAGGAGAGAGGGGAGTTTGGGTTGCCCCCCGCCTCCCTCCTCTCTGTCCCCCCCCAACCCCGACTCCCTCGCAGCCTTCCCTGGGGCTTGGCTGCAGCGTCATCACCGGAGGGACATCGGGCACATCCCTCACCCCAACTTTCGCACCGAATCTTCCCCTTTGGTTGCACCAACTTCCACTTCATCATGCCACTCCTTGAGCTCTGCCGGGGGTCGGGGAGGGGGGGGACACGGGACAGGTGGGGGAC